AAAAACAGGCTAGAGAGTTTGCGATTGTAGCTACCAACTTCTGACAGCGCAATTTATCACTATCAAAGCGGGCATGTGTGTGTGTGTGTGAGTGTGTGCGAGGGAGGTGGAGAAGGAGACGGAGGCGGAAGGGTAGGGAGCGTATTGCCTATATAAAACAACAACAGCCTACAAAGTTGAGGTCGTAAATCAAAACTTAAATTTAACACATGCAGCGGCAAATGGCTGACACTGCCAAACGGATGTCGAGTCCTGTTAATTCTGCCCTCACTTCGAGTTACATACACTTTGGCAGCAACTTTGTCACCAGAGATGGCTTGGGATATTCAAGGGAATCAAGTCTATTCCTCTCTGTTCTATCTATTTTAAGATGTGGTACTTGGGTTATAAAATGTATAAATATTTGTATTTACTCTTTGGAAATAAATATGATAATAATAACTATCTAATATCTTACTTAATAAAGAAAACGGACAAACTATTAATATTGTCTTACAATTTGTAAAAAAAAAAATAAAATATAGTAAACTGATGTTTTAATGTTAAAATTTAAATTAAATGGAATGCAGTATTTCAAGAGCATGCGATTTTCGAGTTTTATCTGCTGAATTTCGGCTTTATGTCTCTGTGTGTTTAACTGTTTGCATTTGTATTTTCATGCGCGATTTCTCTGGCTCAGTCTGGGGCCCAGAAACTGATTCTGGTTCTGGTTCTGAATCTCGCATGGACTACGTTCTGGCTGCTCCTGCAGCTCCGCTTCTCTGCTCGCCCACAGATCAGTTGGAGAATGGAGTTCTGGTCTGGCAGTGTCCAGTTTTTTGCTTGCTTGTTTGTCAAAGCTGCCGGCCCCATCAACAATTGACAGATGGGAGTTGGGCGGTAGAATGGGTGAAGATGGCCATGCGGAAACGGAAGTCGGTTGGGGGGTGGGCATGTTGCCGCACGCGTGAGTTAATCTGTCAAAATAGCTCAACGGCAGACAGAATTCGGAAGGGAGGGGGAGGGAGAAGCCAGGCCACTTCACATGTTATCCGCTCTGATTGGTGGCCCAAACTCTCTGGCAGTGACTTGCGTGAGTGCAGAGATATCAAGCCGAAAGCCACACATCCCCTGGATTTCCACATCCACATCCCCATCGCCATATACATATACATATACATCTCCATAGCCATCTCCATAGCCAACGCCATAGCCATCTCCATCTTCATCGTCACCGTCACCGTCACCGTCATCGCAACGTTTCGTTTTAATTTGGCCTCGGCTGCCTTTTAAGTTGATTCCCCAGAACGAAATGCCATCAAGTGCCGCCGCTTGCCACTTCGTTTAGTCATTTGGCTGAGCCATTTTATGTTTGCTCTTGTAATTTGGCCTGATATGGTGATTTCGACTTCATATCCGCTGCCAGCAGGAAAGCAGGAAGAAATCGTCTACATCCGCCAGGAATCCCCATTCCCATACCCATCCCCAGCCTTAGACCCACAATCACCCACTTCCTTTGTTGTCGTTCGGTTGTCATGTGCGAGATTTGCGTGTGTTACGACGATTAATTTAAATCATTGATGATGCCCATGCCATGCTGCTCCATCTCGAATGCTGGAATGTCTACGAATTTCGTTTTACTTTTTATATGCCTCTGTGAGTGGCAGGAACCCCGCCCTTTGCCCCACAGGATGCCTCCCAATTTCATCTAGCCCGCTCGTTAATCATTGTTTTCGACATTTGCCTGCTCGTCAATTGCCTTTATTGTCATGGTGATGGATCTGGGGATGAACTGATGGGCTAGGCTGCCCCATGGCATCCTCTTTCTGGCCTGGCTTGTTTTAATGCGGCACTTAAGCCGGCAAATATGTTATGTACTACATATCGAGAACGATTCCTGCCCGGACTTGGCCAATTGTTATTCAAAAACCATTAGCCATAAAATGCAGCACAAGGCAAAAGCAAATTAGCCCAAGGGCCGCCGACTACGAGCCTAATTTATGGGAATGCAGCAGCCATTTCTCGGACAGGCCATGGGCATAATTAGTTTTCGAACTTTAAAGTTATGAGTAGAGTCCGCTATCTTTATGGCCAGGCTCTGTTCTCCTCCACCTCCTCCTCCTCCACCTCCTACTCCATTGATTGTCCGCCTGTCTGGCGGGGAATGGTGTAGGGGTAGTGGCGGAGGAAAAGCCATGTGGCTTTCCGCATATAAAGACATTTTTCTGCTGACCGTGTAGGTGCAGGGAATTGGAAAACGCGACTGCAACGCCAGCGACAACCTGACGCCATGGAAAATTCTGCAGACGCGGACAAAAGTTGGCCAAGTTGCGGCAGTGTCGCCAGTGCGGCGCCTATTTTTCCACACAAAACCCCTAGTGCCATTGTGCTTTACCATAACTCTTAATAATCTTATGAGGCATTACCTTGCCTCGCTTTTAATGGAGCCATTTCCGTTTCGGGCCCGCCCTCAGACAACTTTGTTTTTATCAAAGTTTTCGGCTAGGCAGCCAAAAGTTCGCTCGCATCCACATCAAATTTTCATTCACATTGTAAACATTTTCTAATTGAGTTGCAAAATACATAACGCTCCTCCAAATTGTTATTGTTTGTGCGAAAATAATGAGGGGGCATGAGCTGCGCATGTTTGCCTTAGCCATTAAGGACTTGAGATGTTCCCAGGAGCTGAGCAAACAAGTACCAAATGGAGGACGGGCTGGAAAAACACTCGCAAGCCAAGGCATACAAATTAATTTTGGCTGGGAAACAATTTAAAGTCTTTCAGCTGACTGACTAGCAGAGTGTCTGGTTGACTGACTGACTGACTGACTAGCTGACTGCATCAACAATAAGTGCGGAAATTGCAGCAGACGATGCCACTCGACACTTGCTCAGTAGTGCTCGGTACTCGGCTTTTAGTCCTTAGTTGTGAGTCCTCGTTGTGCAATTAGGTGAAAGGCGGCGGGCAGGAGGCTTATGGCCTGCCGAAACAGAAGCGGAAGTGCCCGGGCACAGGAAGTGCAGCACAGGCGATGAAGGACCTTTCTGTCGCCTGTTCTCTTCGGCTGCTTGCTAAGCAAAATCAATACATAAAGCATGCGCCACGTTGTCCTCCCCCCCGCGGCAGCAGCTCCAACATGTGTCGAACGTGTCCTTATCTGCCACTCTCTCGATTTTGCCGGTTGCCGGTTGCCAGATGCCAGTTGCCGGTTGCCAGTTGCCGTTTGCCACCTTAATTGGCTGTGGCCAGACAAACGCAGCCCTGGCAAAGAAAAGTCCAACAAAAATAATGAATGTCAACAAAATGTGACAAGAAATCAAAATTTCTGAAGACTATGCCAAGTGACAGTGATGTGAACAGCAGCAAAGCCAAAAATGAAAGTTGAAGGTTCGAATGTAGAATATCCCTCAAGCAATGAAACTAAATGCACACCTAATTACTATTTTTGTTTATTCAAATCAAACTTGTTTTGTGCATTTTATTTAAAAGAGGAAAGAACAAAAAATTAATTTTTATTCGACACTTTAAAAATTTAAAAACTTGACCGTTGAAATCAATTCCAGGCTATATGTTTAATGATTCTTAACATTTTTTAAGACTTATCCTATCTAAGTGCGATTATCTATGAATAATTTTTTTCTATTTCTGCCATATTTTGTTAGAACCAATTTGTGAATATTTCAAGAGATAAGTACACAAAACAACATGCCATACTTGGCTGCTTAAATCAATTGCAAATTGATTTGTATTTTCAGCTTGTAAACACCAATATCTCGGTCCTATATACTTTTTATCTCACTCACAATGGGCTGTGAAAATTCACCTCATCTCGTTTCCATTCCCGTTTTGGTAACGAGCTGTACCAAATTTATGAAGATATTTGATTTGAATTTTAAACAGCGGCTTTGCCCGGCCAAAAAAGAGCTTAGCAATGACGAGCAGGCAACAGGACGACGGGAAAAGGACTCCGTCGGGAGGAATGGCAAATAAGGCTGAATGTGTCAGTGCTGTGGGTGGTGGGGCATAAATTACGCAAATAAATAGAAACAAGAAATGGCCAGGTGGTGTTGGCCCGTTTTGTGGTGCCCGGGGAACTTCCGCTGCTGCCGCTGCCGCTGCTGGTCGAAAGGTAACGAGATTATCTGTGTCAAGACAATTATTTCCGCCGCATCAGCAGCGTCGTTCTGTTTGGCCAGCAATCGTGCGTGCCGGCAGTGGAATGTGGAGTGCGGAGTGTGGTATGCCAAATGCTAATAGGGACGAGCTGGTGGCAGAGAGCCCCTAATGCCGATGATGCCCCCTCGTGCGGCGCAGTGGTGCTTCGATATGGCTGCCGCATTTACATGATTGCCGCATTGCGTTTCCGGCCGCCTATCTGCGCAATTGTCATGCAGGCCGCTCGACTTAAGTAATTCGCAATTGAGTGACACAAATGCCTCTTGAGTCCACAGCAACAGGATTTGGGCACTCCCCAAATTAATTAATTCGGTGTACTTAGGGTTTCTTTTTGGGAAGAAGACGGGCTGCCCTTGTATCTACTGAAACTCAACTCCTTAACAACAACTTAACATTTTTATATGCTTTCTATTGAAATGTGTTCATTTAATAAGGTGTTAATATAAAATTTAATAAGGATTTCTTTTCTTTACAAACAAATATATATGAGATGACATATATATATAACAAAATTTATTTTCTCTTTCTTTAATTTAAAATAATATATATAAATATATATGAGTCACAAATTACCCATTCTTCAGAGTTAAAATTATTAAAATCCTTTTTTATATACTTTATAACACATAACCAAAATATATGTCATCGTAAGAAAATCATGGCAGCTTGTAAGCTCGCAAAATTTACCGATAAAGTTCGTTTATTGAAAAATCGTAAATGCTATCTTTTAGAGGAGTACGCCCTCATACTTTGTACTGTCAAGGGGTTAAGCCTCCCCCTGCAGCTACTTATCATTCAATCCATCGCTCATCTATGTATATTCGCTATTTCCTGTCTCCCCCAGAGCTCTGCGTTCCGACCCCCACACACATTATCATTCACAACTCATCCGATTGTCATTGTCTATGTCTTCCTGGCATCACGAGGAGGCAAGAGCGGAAGGAGCAGGAGCAGGAGCTGAGGAGCAGGACCAAAAGAGCTGCATGCCCAATCCCCTCGACATCGTCGTTGTCATTGCCATCGCCATCTCATCCTGGCTTACGATTTTGCGCTTGCATTCATTTTTAAAAGACGACGGCCCCGAGGGCATGCTTATGCAGGTATGCAGGATACACGGCTACAGGGACACACTCCATTGTCTGCAGGACACCGCGGCAACATCCTCCAAATCACAGCCTGTGTTCGTGCTGGGGTTCCATCTCCATCTTCGTCTTCATCTCGTCATGCGCTAATGGCAAAAGGTGAGTTCCCATCCGCCCCGCACTGTGTTTTCTACCACGCTGGGCGGCAAAAGTGTTAAAAAAGTGACTTTTAATGGGTTTAAATCAAGTAAAAGTTGTTGAAACTTGACTTGATTTGAGCGATTTCCCCACCGCTTTGGGGCCGTCGAAACGGAATCCGTACCATCCACGGTTGGTCGCCTCCCATTTTATGATGCTCCGCAACAGAGCTGATGCTCTCGCTGCGACCGTAAAAAGTTTAAGCTGCCCGAGATCAACTCAAGTAGCTTAATGCCACTCGGCCCGGCTTCGTCTTCCTTATAAGTTTGAGCAGGGATGTGGATGCCACTTGATGACGCTACTCGTTAGGTAATTTGGCTTTGATTGGGGTTTTGGGTGCATTTCGTGCTGCATTTGTTTCAATGACAAACATCCAGCGACATCGAAAGCTGTGGATGCTACAAAGCTTCTTGGCTGATTTAATGGCCTTACCTCGGAAGTTAATGGCGCTGATGCTCGTGGAATGAAAGAATTTGAAAGAATTCTGATGGATTTCTATAATTCAATCTGTTAACTTTCAAATAAGTTACACAAGTTAAAAGTACTACAAGTCAAGCTAAGCAAATATGATTATTAAAGTTGGCTTTCGGAAAAAAGTGAAAAGTTTTTTCTTAAATTCATATTTATTCATTTTGGGATACAATACAGAAATTTAAGAGAATTTTAAGGAAAATAAGATACACTTTTCCACTTCTCCAGTGAGAATCCTTGAAGATAACTGTTTTTCAAATACTCACTTAAAAGGACAATTATAGTTTGACAGCGGCCAAGGCGACAAATGCCATTTCAACTCGTATTTTATGATTCGATTTGGGTCTTAGACGTTTCTTATCCCCTTTAAATGTCACGTAGTGCCACCCCCACCCCCCCACACACACACGCATCCAGCATATAAATATCAGATATACTTGTCTGCATCTTATAGATATCAACCCAAGCCATTGATATAGCCAACCCGACCAGCTCCCACGCAACTTCCAGTTAAGATTTTTATTACTTTATTTTATGCTCGTTCTGCTGCGGTTTTGGTGGCCCAAAGTTCGGAGAGTCCTGTGTTTTTGGGTGGCAATCGGGGGTGTGAGTGTGTGGGGACGCCTAAGCCAGGCAATGAGACTCTAATGCGCGTAAAACTAATACAAATGCGTTTCTTATCCGCCACCACCCACCACCCCATTTTGGCCAGGCCAAATTGCTTGTACTTTGCCACAAGTGACGGCTTATGCGGCAATATACATAAGTAATATTGCCCCCGTCTACATTTCCATGGCCACGGGTGCTATCTGGCCTTGGGTGGAGAAAGGGGCGGTAGATCTATGCGAAAGGAGGCGGGGCGGGTGCCTGGGGAGCTTAACTATATAACCGTTGGATGCGATTGCAAACGTTTTATGTTCTCATCACATTAATGCGAACACTTTCAGTCAAATGTCCATAAAGTAAAACTAAAGAAATCAGTCTGATTCCAATTTAAGATTCTTAAAAAGATAAATGGAGCGTATGAATTGCTTGCTATTTGAATTTATATTAAATAGAGTAATACGTTTTGATTCTTAATTATGATATTTATTATGTATTTACATTATTAATGTATTTACAAATCAGATAACTTAAATATTAAAACTGAAAAACCGCCACAAAATACTTTAAATTTATCGCTTAAATTAATGCAATTAAGTCGTTCTTGTTTAAATGTCAAATTGAACATAAATATATATAAATACATTTTAGTTTGCCCATAATTTTATAAAGAAATAAGAAATATGTATAATCAAGATTAAATATATAACTAATTGGCATTTAAAATGTAAGCCTAACATTTTCCAAAAGTAACCACGTCAAAGACCAGTTGAGAAATTATTTTATGACAAGCAAATCATGATTAATTTGAAAATATGCTAGGCAGAGTTTGTCGGGAATATGCAAGCATACAAAAACGCAAATTTCCTTTTTATTCCCTTTTCGATCAGGCAGCTTAAACCATTTTTGTCGCATAATTGAATTAAACGCAAACGAAACGGACGATATAGAATTTTATAATTTACTTCGAACAAAATGCAATTTGCGTTGGTATAATTTACTTAAAATATTTCCATTTTGTTGTGTAATCGTTTGGTAAGCGTTTTTGTCCTTTGCTTTTTTGTTATATATTTATGCACATATGAATGCTTTATGAAAATGTCATGAACTCAAATTAGTTTCATAAACTCTGTGGCGATCATAAAACCAATGTCAGCTGCAGACACTGTTTTATTAAAATTTATTTTCGCAGTGCGTTTTTTCGATTGCAGGCGACATAATTGCCCGAGCATTACCAGAGAGTGCAATTCAATTAAAATTCCTGATAAAAAAATGTGAAAACATCGAACGTTCAATGGTACTCAGCAGGCAAAACATATATATTTTTATTACCTCTCCATATTTTCGGTGTCCTTTTATTTCGGGTTGGACAATTTCAACTTTTGACTGCAATGTCGTATGAAATTTTGTGTGAAAAATGAGGAAAACTGTTCGCTCAAAGGGAAAATAAACTACACTGTTTGATATATGACCGTTCCGTGTCATGGCCACGAAATGTGTATTACAGTGGACCGTGGGCCATGACCATCCAATTAAATCAACGCCCTGATTGCAAAATGAATGACTTGTAAAATTGTCCCCGCCCCTTTGGCAAGTTAATATCAAATTGCGAGCGTTTTCCCGCTCCTCCTGCCTTTCTTTTGCCCCAACTGAAACTGCAGTTATAGTAAATGGTCTATTGATTGATGGCGCTCACACACACCCTCGGATGTCCTGAGTACGTCCCTGCAAGGATGTCCCCAAGTTTGGCTGCAAAAGTTAGTTGAGCCTTCGGGAGGCGGATCAATAAGAAGGCAGCACACAAATGGCAACAGATTAGATGTCATTCTTTGTGTGTTCGGGGGTAGTTAAATTAATTCCATGCAAAACTTCTCCTTTGTACATTAGGGGGTCGCTTTGCCCAAGTGGGAGGGAATTATTGGGGAATTACTGGGAATTGTTGTGAGATTCTCTGCTCAGGACCGCCTTTTGGTTGCCCAAAAATTGTTTCAATTAATTGTCATTGTTGCTTGCCCTGTGATTTGACAAAATCTCTAGTAAATTAATGCAAATCATATACCAAAGCTTGGGCTCTTTGGTTGGGGAGCTTATACATTAAGTCCTGAAACAAATCACCGAGCCTAGATGAGAAATCAAAATGTTAGCAAGCTACCGTTAAAAGCCTCAGATACCGGACATAAAAAGTTGCCACTCGAAAAAACTTTACTGCCAATCCGTGTAAGTCTTTCACCATGAGTGTGGGTGTTGTTTGGATTTATCAAAAAAAGGGATTTATTTTTTTGGTAAGTAATGAAAACAGTAAATACCCTGGATGGTGGGACATAAAATTAAGTAAAGCTTGTAAAGTTATTATTTTTTTTGGGTTTCAGTCAAAGTCTCAAAGGCACTGGAAAACGAGGTGCATAAGTAGAAAATCCTTTTGCGGACTATGTTATATGTGTTGCTTAAGCACATGACTTAAAACTGATAAAATATTATTAATATTTATAACAAACTGGTGAATTAAAATATGTCAATAGTTACAGTTATTCAAATGGTAAAAACAATGTGTTAAAATTTATATCAGAGTTTTATGAAATGTTTATCATTAACATAAATGCTTAAACCTCCCTGAGTGCCATATTACCCACTCTTTACAGGTTAGCGAGCGAATGAAAAACCGAAATGACTTCAAACGCTTTTCAAACAGCTTAACATGCCGTTGTCACACACGCGAGGACGAGCCAAAGCCGAAAAAAATCCTCTCCAGCTGTCGGAGGTCCTTCCAATGCCACAGATGCCACAGCCCCCCCTGAAATGCCGAACCCCGTCAGCATCCGCACTTCGTGGGTTGTCCTTCGCACAAAGCGCTTACCCTGTGTGGCAGATTGATTTGTGGTCGAGTTCATGCCAAATTTAACTTTAATAGTTTTTACTGGATTTACTTTTAATTAATTTTGCGGGACTTCCACGTCGTCCTCCGCTGGCCCCTTTCCCCTCGCCCTTTTCCCCTTTTTCCCCTTTTTCCCCAAGCGGGTTTCAGTTACGAGCCAGTTCATTTGTAACTGGCCGAGGCTCGGGTTGTGGCTCGAAACTCCTTGTTGCCGCGTTTATCGTGCCCGCGTAAAGCGCAATTAATTTCGTGTCTGTTTTGAGCAGCAGTGCCACGCCCCAGCGCCCCGTTGCGCCTCCTTTAGTAAGCACAGTCGCCGCCATTAATTATGAGATAAAACACTAAAATGTATCAAGTTGTTGTGCCTGGCTGTTGTTGTAGTTGCTGCTGTCCCTCTGTGCAAGTGACAAAGTTGCCACCACAAATTTACGTCTGCGAATTTAATTTTCACCCCCCACCAGCCGCCTTGCTTTTGCGTTATCAGTTTTCATTTTTAGTGTTATGCCAATGCAAAAAGTTCGGCAAAAGTTCTAACCAAGAATTATTCTTGTCTTTTTAGATCCAAAAAAGATGAAAGCATGTGTGGCTTTATCAAGTGGTAAGTATTTAATTGAAGCGGGAAAGTTATAAAAGTGAAGGAGACTACTTCACATGTGACTAGAAATTAAAAGAGATTTCTTCATTAAATTTAAAGAACCTTAAGCTTTCAAAAGTGATTAGTAATCATATGTTATGAAGCCTAATTTAAGTTTAAGATTCTGATTAGCAGAAATTAGCTTGATACCAAATAAAGATAAAAGATATTAAAATTCACAAGAGATTAGATATTAAAATTCACAAGAGATTAAATATTTTAAGAGATATTCTCAACGTATTTGTGTTTTATTTATTTGTTAGTTTATTAAGTTAAACTAGTTTATGGCTCGTAAAATATTATAAAAGTTTAAAAAACCACAAAATATTCTACATATAATTAGTTAAGTCTCGAAAGTTTCTAGTCATTTACTAGTAGACTGTGACTAGGAAGCATTTCAAGGTAAACGAGTTTCTTGAAAACACGATTATCTGATTGAATCAACATCTAATTTTAAGGACAAAGGCGCACAGCCAAAGCATAGGAATTATGCAAGCTTTTGGCCTGTCATTGTCTGCAGTTTGCGGCTTTAAACTTCCCAGGACTTCTCTTTCACATTGCAAATCCTCGTTAAGGGCAATTTCACAATACCTGTGCACATCGAGTTCAAAACAATGAATACGAGAGGACAATTAACTTTTCACGACACATTAATTAAACGCAAAGACTTAGACAAAGCCAGATGCAACTGAGCAATCGCTTACCGTCGCATTCAATTTGATTTCTATATATGCCATCTTCAATTTGGGGAACACATGTCGCCGGCATTTGCAAATCAAATCCCCTGGGCATACAATCAAATCAGCTCTGCTGATGATGGTGACGATGGTGATGATGATGATGATGGCTATGGCGACAAAGAAGACGAGGACAACTTGCACTTCCTCCTTTTTGAGGCGCTTTAAGTTGCTTAAGAGGAATCTCAAGCCGGAGGATTTCGGTGGTTTTCGCATGCATTGAATTGCAGATTCTCGGGACTGTTTTAAATGCAGCCCACGCAAACGGAATCCCTGGGGTACAAAGGCAAAAAAAAACGAAAGAAAGGGGGGCTAGGGGGGGGGCGGCTGATAAGATGGGGCGGCAGCTCAAAAGTCGGTGGCAAAAGTATTCAGAAAGAAGTGCAGCTGCAAAAAAGTTTACATTTCCAGATGCCATTTTACTTTACTTTGCTGCCGCTCGGCTTACATGACCGTGCGAAATGTACCTTCCCTTGGAGGTTTTCTGGGGCCATGTCCTTGTGTATTTTTGTGACTTTTGGCGCCGCCTGCAAAGACAACATCGTCGGAGAGTTAAGCAACTTACTTAAGCGAGGGGAAAAGCCGAGGAAAACTGGGTGTGGGAAAGCCGCTTTCAGGAAATTGTTGCATTTCGGTTTTGTATGTTGCCGTTGCGAGCCCAAATCTACTTGACTTGACTTTTGCCCGCACCGCACTCGCACCGCACCGCAAGCAACTGAAAAGGGGGGCGGGGAAAGCGGGAAAAACAGGAGGAACAGGAAAAACAAAGCAAAGATGGTGGCAAAAAATCGAGGCCAAAATGTAACGAGACACAAGACCCGCCCACTCGTCCTGCGCCCCCTCTCTGTGTATATATTTATATGCAAGTATGTATGTGGGAGTTGCGGCTGTGGCACGTATTTGTTTTAATAAAAGTTTTGCAGCAAAACTTAATGAAATGTTGGCAGGCCTCAGCCACAGTCAGACCCGTTCCCCTTCGACGTTCTCCATTTCGGGCCTAGCTCGTTTCCCAGACAGGCCCAAGACATGAACATGTTCCGACTACCGACTGTGTCTGCAGCTAAGTTATGGTCGGGAAAATGGGGAAAACGGGGAACAGGACCTCAAAGGAAGTTGTTGATATTTACGCTCGAGGAATCCCAAAGAATGCCTTTCAATTAAAACAAGTGTGCAATAATTTAAATGTATGTCTTGCGGCTTGCGACTCGAGAGAGCTGCAAATTGCACGATCCATCCCCAATAATTGACTGTTCCCACTTCTTAATGTCTAATTGCCACTTTGCCGGCTTTGACAGTTTTTGTGGCTTGCATCCACAGCCCGCAAAAAAAGGTATATTTTATATATTGCATGTGCAGAAAAACGCATTACACAAACATGACCAAAACCAAAGACAGCTTGTTAATTGGAAAGTTTTATGCAATTATAAAACTTTTTTCATTATTCTCGGGCATTTTTGCCGTGCGTCCTGTTGATATTTTGTCGCTCTGAGCACACAATTCGGTCCAAGTTGCAAATGGAAGTGAAAACGAAAAGCAAGGTAGGTGGCCAAAACGCAAACGAACGATCCGGTGGAAACTGTAACCGAGACGTACCCCGCTCATGTGTGACCAAAGTTGAAATGGAAATGCATAGCGGCAGGAAAGGAAAGTCAGGGAAATGAAAGGAAAGGAGAGGAAACGAAAGACAGGGAGAGGATGGATGCTGGCGAGTCACAAAAACGGCAAAATGTCACTGGCAGCAGGGCAGCGTGGGCAACATGTCGCATGAGTGTTTTGTGCTAACTGCAAACGCAGAATTAATTTCATTTTGCAAAGTCCGCCCTCGTATGCCCTCGTCCCCAAAGTGACAATTGCATGAGTTGGCAAAGTGTTTAGCATGAATTTCATTAAATGCCAGCGGCCAACAATTTAAGCAACTTTAAGGAAGGGCAGGAGCAGCATGCCCAAAGAGGCCGACCCAAATGAATATGTAAGCGGTCCCACTTGGCCATTTACGTGTACAATTGATGTGGTTTGATTTCGTTAGGGGCACTGCCAGCAACATAAACACAATAACAAGCCTCGCAAGGAGGAGCCTGGGACCATTCAAGTCGACATCGCCGTCCAAAAGCAGTCCCAAATGGCCTCCGGCGGAGTTTGCGGGCCAACTACCCAGTCAGGCAAATGAAACGAATGAATAAATGAGGCCATGCGCCCAGGACAGTTCGATTGCGATTCCTACATCGCTGACAGTCAATTCGGACTGATCTGGAATGGAGTGGGTCGCAGTGGAGCATGTGCACATAATAGCTGCTAAGCAACTGCACTCGACAGTACATTTATATATATATGTGTCTGTAGCCGGGTGGCCTGTATCTGTGTCTTTGTATCCGTATCCTTGAGCTCCTCGGCGGTGGCATGTCCCAGTTGGCATGTCAGCCACTCGTTGGGCCGCGTTCTTCATTTAAATGGTATTGAAATTGATTTCATTTGATCGCAAATTATAATGTTTTATTTCACTCTGTATTCCTGACAAGGGCGACGTTCTATATTGGGGCACTGAACAAAAACAGTATAATAGTATACATTATAGGTGTATAGTATAGGTGCTTTAAGGTTTTAGTATCTTCAACATAAGTATTAAAAATTTAAATCTTTAAAGTTATGATTTCTTACGGATTTTATTATTACCATTCTAAAGGGTCTCTCTTAGCAAAGTTATTTACAATACAAAATGTAAGGAATTCGTTTAAAATTTGTTGTTTTATTTCCAAGGCTTAAGATATTTTTAAGTCCTACAAATAATGATAGCCTGCAGTGCCCCAATTTTTTTCTTTGTGTAAATTCAATCAAGCACACAAGTATCTCAAGTACAATTGATGCTTATTAGCCTCGACTTGGCTTAAAGAACAGCCCCAAAACTTGAGGGATTCGCTGGGTCGTGATTGTTGTTTGCATGTTTATTGCGGGCCAGGCCGAAAGCTCGACCGGAAGTCTCAAATCGAACACAAAATGCCAAAATGCCGGCCAATCGGGAGCCATAACTGCCTGCCTGGAGTGCGTAACGGAAGTGCTTCGCCTCAAGGAGCCAAAAAGGATGAGGACGAGGATTGGAGAGGATATACTGCCCTTTGTGTTTGCACTCGGGCAAATATAATAAATAACTTTTTGCTACTTTTCGTATTTGGACAATGCTCGACATGGGTCCTGTTTCTGCGCTTTAAACTTTGTCTCTCTAATGGCGTTTCGATTGCCTCTCGGCTACTTTTCTGCAGTCAGCCATCCTACGAACGGAAAATCAATACCACACATACAAGTTTACCAGTGGGTGGACCGCAAACGGCAATCACTGGCACAGCCACCATTTGTCATGTCACAGTCGAAGCCTAATTTATCAATAATTATACTTTATAAACATTGAATGCGACCATTGTGCGAAATCAATCCGGATGTGCTCGGACGCACACACTCCGTAATCTATAAATAGATAATCTTTTTTGCCCGAACTCACTCTGGCATGTCATTAATTACGCGCCGATCCACCTTCCCATCAGGAGGAGGAAAAACCCCTCGGGTCCTGTTCAGGCCCATGTCTTATCGGGAAAAACTTTTCCTTCATTTTTTTGCGGCCGTATTTTCATTAAATGGATTTCAATTATGTTCAGCTCACAGCCAAAAGGGGGAGGAAAACGAAGAGGCTCTGTGATGGGTGGCAAACTTATTGCACAAAAATTTACAAAAGCAGTTAAACAATAAAGCGAAAAAGGAGCAAAAGAAACGAAGCATTTTTAAAATGAATTCATTAAAAGTAAAAATCAGCAATGGCCAGAGAAGAGAAATCACAGCACAAACAAGACACGACCGGACCCCTTGGATTCCTTTAATATTAAATGCCGTGCCGCGTCCTGCTTAACCCACAACCCTTAACCCTTTGTTGCCGCGCTTCGTCGCGCGAGCTGCACTTTATTTGGCAACTTAATCGCCCAACAGGCCGCAATTTAACAGGAATTTCCCTGCCTCTTCTCCAGAACGAATTGTCGTCTTTTATTAAATTTCATCGCATTAAGGCTTAGCAGATGTTTTCCAGTTTGTTTGGCAATTTTTTTTTGTTTGCCTAAGGGTGATAATAAGAATAATAATAATGCCAGTGAGGCCTCAAAAATTAAGCTGCCTTTATTTTAGCACTTAGCACGGTTTTCCTTTTTATAATTTGTCTTGTTATGGAAGAAAACCCTCCATGCATAAAAT